CTATTTGAATTTTCTGATGTTTCATAATTCTTAAGTTAATGATTCAATAGGCTCCTTGCGGGTTCTACGACTTTAAAATACCCGCTAAAAGTTTGAGTTGAACAACTTTAACAAAATATTGCAATAACAATCTTAAGTATGAATGCAGGTCATTATTTAAAGTAAGAGAGTATAACTGAAAAGATTTAAATTGACAATTATTTTACTTTCACTGAAGCGGACGTTAAAAACATGAGAATGTTATCGCCTCTTCAAACGTTTTTTTCTTTCTCTCTCTCACAGAGACAAAAAAAAGCGTCTCTTATCTGCTGTTTTCGTCTTTCCTCGCGATCAAAACGTAATTTTTGCATAATTTATGAAGTATTGGCTGGGTGTAACGTATGTGCTAACTAAAATACAGAACGAAGGAGTAAACAGAATTTTATTATTATTATTATTATTATTATTGTTTTATTTCCATTGATTTCTGGTGTATACTTATTCCCTTCCCGACCCGAGACCTAAGGTCAGAAATGGCGTCATGACATTTTCCACTAAAATTTTTTGAAAAAAAAAATCACACATATTTCACAAAGATAAAGCCCTTCGTAAGGTGTGAGCTGTACTTGTGAGTACAATTTTTTTGTATTTCTTTAAGGCATGGGCTACTAGGGATTCCTTCAGTGAGTCTATTGGAATCTTTTCTAATCAATCCGAGGGCTCCAACTACAACTGGAATTGTTAATGTCCTCATGTGCCACATTTTTGAGATTTCGATTTCAAGGTCCTTGTATTTTGATAGTTTTTGAAGATATTCTTGCAGTCTGCAGGGACTGACATGTCAATAGGGGGCACATTTTGTCTTTGCAGTGTCTAATCACGATGTCAGGGCGATTAGCTTTGATTGTTCTGTTTGTGTGTATCGTAAAATCCCATAAAATTGTTACAGATCCTATCTCTGTAACCGGATCTGGATGGTGTTCATACCAATTTCTTGCAGTTTCCTTTCCGCAAAAGTTGCAGATTTTCCAGTGCAGATATTGGCCCACTCCGTTATACAGTATTTTATATTCAGTGAGTTTCAATAACGTACAACCTGATACAAGATGGTCAATTGTTTCTGTATTTATCACAGAATCTGCATTATTATTATCATTATTATTATTATTATTATTATTTGTGTATATTATGTTTCCTGCTTTGTATCATGAAGGGCCAGGTCCAAACTATGGTCCTTCGGCCCTATAGGCGAATCCTCATTTAATTGATAGCACTTTTCTTAGCATGTGGGATGTTTGTTGTTATTATTTATATTATTATCATTATTATTTATATTATTATCTCTTCTCTGTCTAATAAAAATAAACTTGTTGGGGGACACGAAACAGACTGTATATCAACTCATGAAAGCCGTACGTGATTATAACTATAACGAAACTTCCAATAAATGCTTACACCGTCGAAGTTATTATTTACACTATTTACATCGTTCGGACTGTTGTCCTCATCTTCATTACTAGATTCAAGACATTTTCGGCCGTTGTACTCTCTGTCCGAAACGTCACGAATACGACAGCAATGATGACAACAGTCTGAAGAACGTATATAGTGTAAATAGTTACAATAACTCATCTCAGAAAGATGATGTATTTTGGGTTATACATAGGGAGTTCAGAAAAAAGTCCCCCGCCTCCACAAAAACAAAAAAAGAAATCTGAGGTTTAGTCAAACATTAGGAAATTTTTTGAGCTGAGGGAATTTCAGCATTATATATATATATATATATATATATATATATATATATATATATTTCAGCACTATATGTATATATATATATATATATGTGTGTGTGTATGTATATATATATATATATATATATATATTTCACCATTATATTTATGTATATATATATATATATTTCAGCATTATATATATATATTTCAGCACTATATATATATATATATATATATATATATATATATATATATATATATATATATATATATATATATATATTTCACCATTATATTTATGTATATATATATATATATATATATTTCAGCATTATATATATATATATATATATATATATATATATATATATATATATATATATATATAAACTCTCCCATCGAATTCGACGTATGAGGATCAAACAGATCAGTACCTAGGAAATTTGACAGCCCGACAACAGCACGTTGAGATTTGATGGTGAAGGTTTCGTGCAGGACCATCCACACTTTTAAAGGGCTGAATACAGAAACCTGGCGCACTACGTGCCATAAGGTCCCAAATGACCTTCCACAGGTTTTGAATTCAGAGTTGTTCTCCTTCTCCTAGACCAGTTGCCATCCAATGCTATAGAACCCAGTCTGTCCTGATATATATATATATATATATATATATATATATATATATATATATATATATATATATATATATATCCACAGGGAAATTTTTGAATATTCAAGGTGTTAGAAATAAATTTGTTAAAATTCCCCTACATAGTATTTATCTTGTGCCCGAATTTGTTTCAAGACCTATTGTTGTGGGAGTTGTTCCCAAATTACCTATGAAGGGTGTGTCCATGTCATTCGGTAATGAGTTGGTTGGCGGGAAAGCCATAATCCATCCCGAAATATTTAAAATCCCTAGTGTATTTCTTTCATGTGTGATAACACACGCTGGAAAAGGAGCAACTGTTAGTATGATATGAGGAATGGGATTTATCTCAAACTTTCTTGATTTCTGCTGAAAGGTGAATTTTTCTCATCCTACTCAACATTCATGCAAATATGACGTTGTTAACGTAGAGACCGACTGTCATTGATATTCCTTTGTCTCGGAATCAGATTCTGATGGAACAGAAGAAAGATCATGAAATTATACCTCTTTTTTATAATGTGGTATCGTTGGAAAATTTGAAGTAAATTAATACAGGATACTTTATAAAAGATAATGTACTTATGAGAAAGTGGAAGCCTTCTCATATTCCAGATACCGAATATTGGACAGTAGTCCATCTAGTGATAGTTCCTAATATTTATCGACCAGAAATAGTGAGAACTGCTCACGAAATTCCTCTGTGAGTTCATTTAGGAATAAATAAAACTTGTGATAAAATATTTAGACATTTTTATTGGCCTGACATTCAGAGATATGTGTGTCAATATTGCTGAACGTGTCATATATGTCAGATAAAGAGGAAACCTAATCAAAAGATCCCTGTTGTTCCGTTACACCCTATTCCCGCGTTTGAAACACCCTTCGAGCGAGTGATTATTGGTTGGATGAGTCCTCTACCCAAAACCAAGTTGGGAAGCTGTTATGGGATCGTACCCATAATAATAATAATGGACTATTCCATACTTAATAAATACTGCGCCTCAGGAGTAGGCGAGGAGGCAGTAGTTCAAGTCGAGTCAAGAGTCGAGTCAGAGGCAGTCCGAAACAGAGTCGCGTTCAGACACTTACTGCAAGGCATTGGAATAGTGATACTGGTCGAGACTACATTATTCTCTCTACTAAACCTGATTGTTCATACTAACACTTCTATCTCTGTATATATTCCTGTGTTATTCCATACCTGTGTGCGAGTTCTTTATTGGTTCTACCTTGGCTATCACCGTAGTACAAGGAACCGGACCATAAAAGAAGTCAATACATGTTTACGATAATGTGTGCTTGAAACCGTTTTCCTGGAGCCATACCTCTACCGAACGTTTCAACTCGAAAGACTGTAAAAACTCTTCTTACATTCTTCACTAGAGTAGGAATGCCAAAGATTTTACAATCGGATCAAGGATCGAATTTACTTCGAAATTATTTCAACAAGTGATGAGTCAATTAGACATCACTTTTATTAAATCTAGCGCTTATCATCCCCAATCACAAGGTGCTTTGGAACGGTTTCACTCTATATTAAGGAACATGATTCGAACCTATTGTTTAACACATTGTAAACAACAGGATGACAGTATTCCTTTTCTATTATTTGACGCCCGCGAATTTGTCCCGGAATCGCTCGGGTTTAGCTTTTTTGAGTTGGATTTGGACATTCTGTTCGAGGTTCTTTGAAACTGTTGAAAGAAACTTAGTTACAAGAAGACCAGAAGAACATAAATTTGTTAGATCACATATCTCAGGTCCGAACACTCTTAACCGAAGCAAACGAATTGGCTCGTCAAAATTTTCAGTCAAACCAAAAGAAAATGGAAAATCGGTATGATAGAGAAGCTGTTGAGCAAAAGTTAACCTGTGGGCTGGCTCTCGCGTAAAATTGTCTTACGATCTTCCAGAGATGGAATGTTAGAAGCTTCCGGGAACTCTAGGAACTCAAAAGCCAAGATGGACTGTATCCTCCATGAATAAAAAACAAAGCGCTTTCAGGATGATAATCTCAACCAAGACAAAACAAGATTTGTTTACCTTTTCCTATATATAAAAAGAAAAGAAAAAGAAATAATGATCAAAAATCGTTGATAAGATTATTCGACAGATAAGTAAACCACTGAACATTTCTTTTATGAGAATTTTTATATTTTCTTTCTTTTCTTCTATTCTTTGTTTATCGTTTCCTTCTTCTCCCACTCTATATCTTTATTAGATTAAAATGAGTACAACTTTATATCATGCGTTTGTTTTCTATACGTTATATATGCTTGTATAATTCCCTATGTAAAAATATCACCTTTTTCTTTTAAGCGAACCGCAACAATATGTTTGAATTTTGTCGAGAGATAAAATTCGTAATAGAAAGCAGGAGCACCAGACCAGATATGACAGTAATATTCAAAGCAAGAACGAATGGTAGATTTATAAATATGTGAGATAGAATCTGACGAGAAAAATTCACTAGCTCAACTTAGTGGACTAACTCCCTTAGCTGCAGATTTAGACATTGATTCAATATACTCTTTCTGTGAAGTCTCAATGTATTACTCACCCGGAGGTTCGCATCGACCATACTGCTGGAAGAAAAAAAGGCTGCTCTCTGATGATTAAAACAGCAGGAAGAAAAATTATTTTGTAAATGATAGATAGATAGATAGATAGATAGATAGATAGATAGCACGACAATTAGTCAACAAACTCTTCAAAATGGAGTACTTTATGATAATCTATTCTTCACCACAGCATCAATTCCATTGTTTGTTTTGTTTATTGCTATTGTTTTTTGCTGTGGTTAATATACATTTTAAGGTTCCGTGGAATTTATTTGACGCCAAATAATTTAAATTAGTATTAATAAATTTTCTCTCTAAATACCGATTTACTTCACATCAGCGTCATTCGTCTTTAATTTACATACGAATACATTTTTCTCTCCATTTCTCTTTTTGACAATTCACTTCTGTAAACATGGTTGGCCACTCAACTGAAGAAATTTGATTCTTTAAAATCATGCAAATGAATAAATAGATAATTTTTTAAAAGGGTCTATCATTCTTGCTAACTTACACATTCATTGCATATCGATTATCTCCCTTTGTTGATTATGTCCCTTCTCTTAGAAATAGAGGTAAACATAATATGCTCGCATGTTAAGCCAACACGCAATAAAATACCATTAACAAATGAAAATCTTCAACAAGGCAAAATCCCAATCCTAATTCAGAAAGCAGATATATCTTTAATAGCAAAACCGTGCTGTTTCTTAAATTAAATTTTCAAACAAAATCTTTGTTGAAAGGAAGATGGCAGCAGTTTAGTATTACATCACCGATAATCAATAGCTAGCGTAACATATAACAATTTCAGGGGTAGGTGTTCCAATCATGACGAACATAAGTCGTTGTATTTGTTTTAAGAATCCTGGGTATGGCGATAAACGACATCCGGTAGCTAGGTCTCAGATTAAGAGATTCGTGGTTTTGAGGAGCGTGGAACCACCTTTTAGTTGCTGTTGTTCGCAGGTCCACCCTAACACAGGTTGGTAGTACTTAGGGTCCCATCTATAGGCAAATAGTAAACCCCCTCCCCCAAAAAACACTATGAAAGTATAAAAATACATTTTTATACTAAAAATACCAGCAATACATTTTTATATTAAAAAAATACCAACAATACTCACATACTAACAAATTGTAGCAACTTTACCCAGATCCATTTAAAATACTACCAAACAACATAAAATAACTTTGATGGCATTGATCCATATAATATCGTACAATTTCTTAAATCAAACTGTATACCAAAATAGAACTTCAACAAAACTACAACACAAAAATCACATCACCGACTCTAGTAATCAGTCCGCACAAACATGTATATGCAAAAATCTGAGTATCATCTACCATGTATTCAATTGTGAAAGCAGAACAACATCATATTTTTATTACTTCCAAGCTCCCAAGAAAATTAAATTTCGGCATTAAATGATCTATAAGGAGTTGATATGCCGTTAAACAGACAAATCAGTCAATCATATTTGTTTTAACGCACTGATATTTCGATGGAAGACTAACGCAAAAAAAAATAGCCTTCAACTAAAAGACTTATTCTGTATTTGTAAAATAATTTGTTAGTCAAAAAATCTAAATACCAAATGTTCAAAAAAACAAACTATCTGCCTGGAGCGATGTTCATGATAGTAAATGTCCATAGGATTTAAAACAAAAAAAAGGTGTTTTACAAACAATCTTCAATGACGATTTACTTTATTAATTGCATGAGCGAATAGAAAGTAAGATGGGTGAGTCGATTTCACTTTCGGGACAATGCCTTTGGGAAGCTTATGAATCTATCATTCTCCCCCACCCAGCTATTTCTTATTCTGTCCCTACTCTTGCCATGAAAGCACTATCTCCTGGAAGGACTCTCATCAACCATTGTTTGACAACTTCAACCTTTTTTATATATTTATTAGAATAGATTTTTATTAATCTGACAGATTTGCACCTCTTTAAACATTAAACAGTAGATTCATTTATACTCACCTAATATATAAACGGAGCGCCTACTTAAATAAGAGTGTCCACTAAAAATAACGTTTAAAGTTATATAAATCTGTCGGATTAATAAAAATAAATTCTAATATATATATGGTCTGACGATTGCGTCTAGCATAAAACAGCTTGTCGCCTCGAAATGTTTACTTCAATGTTCACTTTGACATATATATATATATATATATATATATATATATATATATATATCGACCTGGAGGGGACGATCCCAGGGTGTGGCACTTTGGAAAGTTGGAAAGTGCTTGAAAACCATACCACGGGTTGATCCAAGCATTGTGAGTGAAATTGGGTAGACGGAACACTTGGGAGACCGTCGACAGCTGTGCTAGCCCGAAGTCACAAGTCATCGTGAACGAGGCTTTGAGTGTTCTGGCCTTCTTCAGATTGTTGATCACGCTAGATAACATGCTTTCTCCCAGAAACTGTAACTAAGGTCTGCTCAGCATAGTTGCAGTATAAACCACAGGTGGGCTTTATGGGTGTGGAACAAACACAAATGTGCCTTAGCGAGCGTCTGAATTAGGGATTGGCTAGCCGATCTAGTAGAGATCTATCATCGAATGCGAGTGGCCAGCAATTATACATATATATATATATATATATATATATATCCTTCATTTTAGGATATTAAATCAAAAACATGTCCAAAAACGCTACACAACTGCAGTCGTGTTTCGATGCGAATCAACGCCTCTCATCGGGCGTAGCAAATAACTGGTGAGTAGACAATTTATTAAGATTTAAAAGCAAAATACGCCCTCTTTTCACGAAGAAAGGAAGAAAAAGAAAAATGAGAAGAGATGGTTGCAGGGTTTGTTTGGTTTTACTCAGTTTAGCAAGATACTCGACAGACTACATTCCCTGTGAGTTAAAAAATCTTTTTTATAGTTGGTAAATAAACAGGCTCTTTAAGAAACCAGTGAATTATTTAAACATATAGAACTAAGTAAAATAAAAGCAACTGTTAACTAAAGGTTACATAGGGTGTTAATAACAATAACCAATCAATGCAAAATATCAGCAAAATTTTAAATTGAATTTAGAATTGTACTCTATTCCTTCTCATTATATATATATATATATATATATATATATATATATTAAAATTGATTTTCTTTTTATTAAACCGATACACTTTTGCCACGCTCCGTTTATATATTAAACAGTAGATTCATTTATACTTATCTAATATATAAACGGAATGCCTACTCAAATAGCTCCTATTAAAACTAAAAATAACGTTTAAAGTGGTAAAAATCTGACGGATTAATAAAAACCTATGCCAATAAATTCTCTTTGTTTGCGTATGGATACGAAACAACATACTAATATGAAAAACTTCAAGAGACTCTTCGACAAGGTACATTTTGCTTGACTCCATGAAATTTGGCTTCGCCTGACCGTCTGTCTCTTCGTGGCCAAAACGGTATCGACGCATCGGAAATTTCAAGCCTGTAGGTGAGTATCAATAAATATATTCTTTAATATATAAAAGTATCGGCTAGTTAAATGCGAGTATCCCCTAATAATAACGTTTAAAGTGATACAAATTTGTAAGCATTTTATTTTGTAAGTATATGTAAGTATTTTATTTTGCAACATATATTTATGAAAAGGAAATGGTGGACTTATGATATAGTTCTTTCTTTTTTCCTTCTTTTCTTTCTTTTCACTTCTATTTTTTCTTTCTTTCTATGCGTTTTAATTTGTTCACTCTTGCTTCGGCTTTTGCAGTCTCTTAACGTTTTCTTTTTTCTTTCCTTTTTGAAAATTAGTTCGAAATGGTGGTCGTATGATACAATTCTTTCTTTTTTTTCCTTTCTATTTTTTTCCTTCTATACGTTTTAATTAGTTCATTCTTTCTTCAGACTTTTGCATTCTCTCTCTTATGCAGCATTATAAAGTACTGGCTCTCGGAAAAACAGTTGAGCAACATTGCTCCATAAGTTTTCTATGGGGTTGAGATCAGGAGATTGGGGTGCCTATGTCATAACACTCACCTGCTTCTCATCAAAGTATTCCTTCATCAATTTTGATTTGTGACAGGGAGCAGTATCCTGCATAAAAATGAGCTTGGTGGGGTCGATTTGCACCCTTTCAGCAGAAGGGAGCAGACAAGACTCTAAAATTCTCTTGTACTGCTCGCTCCTAAGTGTCTTTTCAATAGGTTTTAAGAAACCAGTTCCATGAAAAGAAAAGCATTCCCAGAACATCATACTGAACGGATGGTTGACAGTACTTACTGCTAAATTCAAATAGCTTTCAAAGCTTCTTCTTCGGATTTTAGATCAACATCCTTTGAATTTAGCTCAACTTTCGTTTCATCGGAGAAGAGAACATTTAGTAAAAAAAAAATCAGGTGAGTTACTTTTATCGAACAGCACTGTATATATATATATATATATATATATATATATATATATATTCCTTACCAGATCGAAACCGTTACCGCGTTTGCTTCCTTTTTTTATGGAAGAGTGTACATCGCTGTTGAACTGGAAACTATCCATGTTTGGATTATATATTACCAAGAGAAGTCATCGTGTATGATTAAAAATGCGGAAAGTTGTAGCTGACGGATGGCAATCGAGTCGATACCGATCAGTATCGTCTTGGTCACTGTGGAAAGGTGGTATGATGTTGAAAGACACGAAACCCCTAATGAACCTCGGCTAAAATCATCACAGATTATGTGGTAAAGCATCAAACGGATGCATTTCACGAAGAAAAAACAAATATATATATATATATATATATATATATATATATATATATATATATATATATATATATTCACCTTCTGAGAATAATTTTGCTGATGAAACTATCAGTCACGGGGGAGTTCTGAATTTTCTCGGTTATAATAGATCTTCCCTTCTCTGGGTTGTTTTTGTGTTTAGAATTTCCTGGTCTGTTTTCGTTGATTTTAGTTTGATTGTTCTTGTTTTGTTTTTGGCTGTTCATGTCGGATAAAATAAGAACACACTGAACTGAAATGAAATAAGATAGATAGATAGATAGATAGATAGATAGATAGATAGATAGATAGATATGTACAGACTAAGATAGATAAACAGACAGACATGAATAGACTGAAATTTTCCGGCTCCTTATTAAAACCAATCTGTTTATTATTTTCGTTCTTTTTTAGTCCTTTATATCATTTCGATAGATACCGGTTCGATCACCCCCGGTGGTGAATGTGGACGTGGGCTCTTAAGTGAACTATTCGGACCATAAACACGTCTGTACCCGGATGGTGTTAGGTACTAGGCCTAGAATGGCTGGACACTGAAAATTCAATGAGTCTTTACTGGAGAGTTGGGACTCCCGGAAACGGCTAACTAGATTAGTGCAGCGAGAACTACTGGGGGCGGTTATTGGGAATAAGTGGTGGGAGAGGCTTAAGGATAACATTTCTCCTTTCACCACCGAATAATAGACAAGATAGATATGACTAACAAATTGAAATCTCTCATGGATAGTCTGTCCTGAACGGAAGCTGGGGGTCCCTAGAGATAATTGTTTAGCCAGGCAGGCTCTGGAGTGTAAGGCTAGCAAGCGCAAAGAAGAGATCTGTTATGGTTCCGAGATTCGGATAATCAAGACACCAAAGACATGTGCGAGGCGTTTCGACATCATTTCAAGATCCGTTTTACCAAGGAGCCTCGTCTCTGTGACGACGAGTTTCGCAGTTGTTTGGCTGACTTTCCTCGGCTTGAGCCAACTAAAGCGGCTAGCTGCGAAGTGAGATCGCAGACGACGAAATTCACCTGACATTGAAGATGGTCGGCAGTGGCAAGTCTCCGGGACTTGATGGTCTGCCCTATGAATTGTACTTGAGTCTGTCGCACATCTTTGTTCCGATTTTGACTGATGTGTTCAACAACTGGTTCCGTCAGGGGTCCGTCATCGACCGGATCTCCATGGATATGATTACGCTGTTGAAAAGGGGCAAGGTTGGCGGATAGAATTTAAATGATTATAGGCCTATAACTCTTCTAAAAACAGATTTAAAGATTTTGGCCAAGATCCTGGCGGAGCGTTTGCAGTCAGTTGCCGAGACTTGTTGGGACCCGAGCAGACTTTTGCTGTGAAAGGACGAACAATTCAGAGTAACCTGTATCCGATCGGCACGATCCTAGAGGGCATAAAAGACGACGATCAAACCGCGCTAATTAATTGGATCGATCCAAGGCATATGCTCGACCATAAGTACCTGGCTGCTGTCTTTCAGGCTGCCGGATTCAAACCAGATTTTTGCAGGTGTATCAGCCTCCTGTATTGCTCCACTGCTGCTGTTGAACAGCTGAAAAGAAAGCGGTCGCGTGCTTTTGCGCTCTCCCGGTTGCCGCAACAGGGATACTCGCTGTCGCTCCTACTTTATGCTTTGGCGTTGCAGCCCCTCTTTCACCAGCTGAGGTACAAGATGCGCAGTCCAAGCCTACGTGGAATCGCTCCCTCTGAAGTTTCTCAAGCCAGGATTTCCGCGTATGCAGATAACGTATCCATTTGTGTGCCACAGCGATATTGAGGTGCTACAGAAGGTGCTTGAAAGGTACAAAAAGGTGACGTGGTCCAATATTAACCGCAACATACCTTCCGGCTTGCGGTTAGGTGCCTGGAAAGGGTCGCGCTTCCGGAGCCCTTCAATTGGACAGACGGATCCATCCGCATTCTTGGAGTGTGGTGCGGGCCCGGTCTCCATCTGAAGAAGAATTGGTCCCTAGTACAACAAAGGCTTTGACGGGGGTTTTCCGTAAAGGGTAGGGCTGTGGCGTGTGCGACATGTCTTTTCTCTTATTCTTTATCAATTGTCTTTACATCCTCTCTGCAAGAACCGTAAGAAGGTGTTTGAGGGCTTGTTGTCCTTCTTGGGTGGTGGTTGAAAGCATGGACTGGGAATACCGCAACCGGTAAAGCATCGGCATGCATTGAGGTTGGCTTTCCTAAGCCGTGCGTTGACAGAGGAGTCGATCGTGGGACGAGAGAGTGTTAAGAACGCCTTCCCTAGCCTTACCATCACTCCTCCTGTTTTTAGGGATGAGCGCTATCGTAAACCCCGGAATCAATCGAGATTCCTCCGGGAGTGTCGGACGGCCTTGAAGTTCATTCCTCGGTTCAGTGACCTTTCATGGCCTCGTAGGCTATTGCATCGGGAATTACTGGAGTGAATCTCGAAGGATCCTATATGTGGGCGGCTCGGCTTGTCGGCAACCGAGTTGCGCTCGTTCTAGTATACGGCGGATTGCATCAGCAACTCTGAGTTTTCGCTTACCTGGCGATTGATTCGGAACGTGTCTCTCAATGATGTAGCCTTCAAATGGGACTGGGCGGATTTACCAGACTGTCATCGGTGCGACATTGGTCGAGAGGAAACGGCTTCACACTCCTTCTACCATTGTCCTTAGATGTGCCCGTTCTGGGACAGTGCCGGCGAGTTGACGACATATCGATCCCGAATATCTCGTATCAATCGATCTCGCATACGCGTGCGATAATGTGTCGCCCCCATTCTCTGGGGCGAAACAGATGTTGTTTCTCACGTTGCTAGAATGGTGGTGTGGACGTCGCGCATGGAGGGAATCTTGCGATACTAATGCTATTCTTAACAGGATCTGGTCGTATTCTTTGGGCATCAGCTCAAGATGAAGATTAGAACTGATAGAAAGCGTTTGTCATTGACAAATTTCAGCGAAAGGTGGTTAACTGTGGCGAGCCTTGTTCGTATGAACGAGGATAGCCTTGATTTTCTTTTTTAATTTCCGTTTAACGCAACGGGCGGTTTCCTGTAAACCCTCCCCTGATTAATTTAGACGCTATTTGTTTACCTATTTAATGTAAGTTTTGTCCCCGTCCTGTTCCTGGCATTCTCTTTTGTTATGTTTCATCTCGAGATTCCCAACCTCCCCAATTTGTTTTGTACCCTTGTTTATTAAGACTGGGCCAGTCTTTGAATTTTTTTCCACTCCATTTATTTTTTCTTCCCACCCCATTAACGAGTGTGCTTCTTGGTTCTGTCTATAAGCAGAATACAGCGGCGCTCTTATTATTTTTTAGGGGTTGACGTCTGTTATTTTTAGTTTGAATGTTTTGTTTCATTTTATTTTTGTTTTTGGATTAATCCCCTCCCCCTTCATTTCATGTCCATGGAATTTTTATATAATTTTATAAGAAAAAAAATAGAGATATTTTGAACTTTACAAATTTTTATGTCATGGGGTTTTTCGTAGGTTCCCTGGGAAAATGTGGTATTGTGGCGCATGTAGGATTGAATGGTGATGGATGAGTTCTTGTGGCGAATGAGTAAATAGTAATGAATGAATGAGTCGTGAATCTGATTAGCTAGGTCTAGGATAGTTAATGTTAACCAGCCTTACGCCACTTTCCCTTCGGCCTTGTGCCACAATTGTGTAATTTTATATATAATAGATATATATTCCCATTATGAATTGAAATCAATATAAACAATCAACATAGCTCAAATATGTTAATGATTTCTATAAATATATTTTCGTGATATTGATTTACCTGGTCTTGTTGATAAACAAAACTAAGTCGAATACACACTAGAATTTACATGCAAAATGAAAGAAAACAATACTTTACGCTATCTATTCCTGAAATTTACTGTATCTCATAAAATGATTGCTAGAAATAATATATTGGAGAAAACTCAAGAAGTTTAAATAAACGATTATACGAACACAAGAGTGACATTTTAGAAAACAACACTTTAGACTCATTATTTGCCCATCCTAATGATACCGGCCACAATTTTGACATAAAATATGTTACTCTAATTAAAAGAGAAAACAATACAGTAAGACGAAAATGTTTAGAAAGTGTTTTAATCGCTAGCGCATCCACAGTAAATTTGCGTCCAGGTTTTACAACGTTGCACCATTCTTGACAGATCTGTCGTCGCTATGTCGGATATTTAATAACAAAGGTGGTGGAAACAAAAAGAGAAAGAAAAAGAATCTAAATTAAATCGACTAGGTTATAGATTCAAAACACATAAAAAAATTAAATAGAAATTCCTAGCGTCTCTTGTTGAACGTAAAGGAACTTAGTCCGATGAAGTCCTAAAGAACGAAATGCTTCACACGAAACCTTTTTCTCTTTGTCATATATATATATATATATATATATATATATATATATATATATGTGTTGTTATTATTATTATTATTATTATTTATTAAAGAATATCAAACACTTAAAATCCTACAGGTAATAATTTTTATTTCTTTCTTATTATTAATTAAAGAATATCAATTTATTATTATTTGCTCTGTCTTTTGACATAGAGCTCTCCCTGGATCTATATTCTCCTGAAAATTACATACTGATTATCATATTGTATCATTACTACTTACATATACTTATAAATAACCGCAATTGTGTTGCTAATTTCAGTGTGAACTCATTTTCCATCTTAAGTAGGTCCCACTCAAATTATCACTTTACGATATTTGAGACCATATATATATATATATATATATATATATATATATATATATATATATATTATCTATGAAACATTCAATCTGTAAACAAAAGGGGTTCGTCCTTGACCTCCAATTAATTTCCATTTAATTTTTTTCTCTTCCTGTACATTCCATCCCGTTTATTGATGATATATGCATATTTATTAAATTCGATTTAGCTCTGTTGAGTGTGGTTCGAAACCGGTTAGCTTGCTCGTTCTTCATTTTTCATTTTAATTATTATCACAAGTGGTAGTATTAAAAATACAAATAAAATTTGTCTGTTTATGGCGGATATATATATATATATATATATATATATATATATATATATATATATATATATATATATATATATATATATATATTTTGAATTTGTAGGTCTGATGAATTGGATCGTATTTACGATTCCAATGGAATAAATTATGACCATGGAATATTAGTGTTTAAGCCTTTTTATTATATCCTTACTCTGTCCTAGACATTGAGTTCTACCTGGATTCTTCCTCTTGGAATTTTTTTCTGAAAATATACATGTATGGGTATTTATATATTTTGCATACGTATGTATATTTTCCACTAATATTATCAATAAGGTTATACAAAATGTGTTTAAACGGGCACAATCTACACACACACACACACACACACTCATATCTGACCATACCCTTCTGTAAATTACCCTAAGACATTTCTCGAACCAATTCTGCAAGTGTCAGACCGAAGTAAATGTCTGATTGCTTAAGTCCGTGGTGCGCACGTGTCAGTCAGCTCGATTTTTATTTTTTCGTTGCAATTTCTTTTTCTTCAGTTGAAAAGAAATTTTCGCAAAGTTGTCAGCTCAAGTTTCAAAGCTGATATCATGTTTAAGAGTTGTCTTTCTAATGTTGTTTTTAGCATTTCATTCATTATTTTCGTGTATTTGTCTCTTTTTACGTTATTTTGTTGTTGTTGTTGTTGTTGTTTTATTGTCAATGGGTTTGCTGCCATTTTTGCCTGAGCTAATCATTGCCAGTTCGTGTCATGGTTTGTTATGATTTCTTCATTTTCTGACACTTGGGTTTAGAGTTGGTCAAAGGTTTTGTGTCCGATTTGTTTTGGTTCCTTCTTCCATTACGACTTGAGAAGACCAAAAAGAGGTCATTTAATCACCACCGAAAATAGAGATGCTTAGATGAAAATTTGTTTAACTCGGTAAAATGTGACAGCTGAAAATGATAGATAGATAGATAGATAGATAGATACATACATACATACATACATACATACATACATACATACATACATACTTTCTTACTCTCAGGGGCCTAATAGACGGAGTGGGGAGTTTGTTTTTATTTATCTTTTAGGAAATTTTCCGGCTCCTTATTAAAACCAATCTGTTTATTATTTTCGTTCTTTTTTAGTCCTTTATATCATTTTCAAAAAAAACTTTTATTAAGGTTCACTTTATTGCATATTGAGAAAGATTCCAACGGCAACGATTACGAAACCCCCTCTTCTATTAAGAGTAAAAAGAAAGAAAGAAAGAAAGAAGGAAATATGCTGAGAAAGAAAGAAACAAACAAACAAATAGGGTGAGATAGATAGATAGATAGATAGATAGATAGATAGATAGATAGATAGATAGATAGATAGATAGATAGAAAAGAATAAGCTAAAAAAGAAAGAAAGAAAGAAAGAAAGAAAGAAATATGCTTTGATGGACGGAAAAAAGAAAAAAGATAGATAGATAGATAGATAGATAGATAGATAGATAGAAAGAATAAGCTAAAAAAGAAAGAAAGAAAGAAAGAAAGAAAAGAAAGAAAGAAAGAAAGAAAGAAATATGCTTTGATGGACGGAAAAAAGAAAAAAAGATATATAGATAGATAGATAGAAAGAAAGAATAAGCTAAAAAAGAAAGAAAGAACAAAATATACTTTGATGGACGGAAAAAAGAAAAAAAGATTGATAGATAGATAGATAGATAGATAGATAGATAGATAGATAGATAGCGTCAGAATTTAGTATATAAGTAATTATTTTCACAAAAAACGTTTGCATTAACCAAGCGATCTTAGTGAAATGATCAGGATAACAAATATAACATGAATTTTAACTTATATCTATTTATATTAAAAACATTGAAATTGAGGGTACGTTCCTACTTTTACGGAAAATCGCTATATGACGCATCGTAGGAACAGAATTCTGTCGAAAGTCAAGGACCTCCGATATTATTATTACTACTACTATTACTGCTACTACTAGGCTTACGGTCATATGATGCTGAAACACCGGTTTGCGTACGATCACCAAAGTTAAGCAACGTTGAGCCTGGTCAGTAACTAAATTGGTGACCACTTGGGAATATCAGGTGCTGTAAGCTTGGATGTGCGAGTAGTGTAATGGATAACGGCTCGGAATTCGAAATCGAAAAGTCAAGTTCATTACATTCACTTATGCACAAATACTCTTGGGAAAGGCATGAATCCACATTTCTCCCCAGCTAATAGGGCGTGTATGAGTAAATCGTTATTATCTACAAAATATTCTTACAATCTGAAAATATTTCTGGCTTTAAATAACCTGCAAAAGGTTGATAAGCTGTAAAATAACAAAGCAATCAATAAAAAAAATTAGTAGCTCCGTAGCTATCGCTCCGTTAACAGTAAGATGATGAAATTTTGAATCTAATTTGTTTTTTGTCCATTTAAAATACTACGTTTATTATTATTATTATTATTATTATTATTTCCTTTGATTTCTGACATCTACACATTTCTTTCCGGGTCCTGCCCAGGGACCTAAGATTAGAAATGGCATCATGACACTTTCCACTCACAAAAAAAAAATTACATAGATAGGCTTTTTCTATGCAACTTTTTTTTCGTAAAGTGTGTGCTGTACTTGTCAGAACAATTTTTTGTATCTTTTTGAGGCATAGACTTCCAGGAATCCCTTCAATTAGTCTACTGGAATCTTTTCCAACTAACCTTGGGGCTCCAACTACAAAAGGGATTGTTGATGTTCCCATATGCCACATTTTTGAGATTTCTATTTTAAGGTCCTTGTATTTTGACAGCTTTTTGAATATCTTCAAAGATACATTGCAGTCTGCAGGGACTGCCATATCAATAAGGAGGCACTTTTTTATTTGTGGTCTTTAATAACAATGTCTGGGCGGTTGGCCTTGATTGTTCTGTCAGTGTGTATTGTGCAGTCCCATAGAATTGTAACAGGTCCTATCTCCGTAACCGGATCTGGATGGTGTTCATACCAGTTTCTTTCAGTTTCCTTCCCGTAGAAGTTGCAAATTTTCCAGTGCAGATATTGGCCCACTCTGTCATACCGGGTTTTATATTCAGTAGGTGCCAATATCGTGCAACCTGATACAAGATGATCAATCGTTTCTGGATATTTATCACAGAATCTGCATTTTGGGCTAACACAATATTTTAGTATATGCGCTTGATAATTCCTAGTTAACAAGCATTGGCCCTGTGCAGCAAGGATAAAATCTTCAGTTTCAACTTTCAACCCTGCACTACGTAGCCACTGATGGGTACGGGTTTTGTCTACGTCAGCTTGGTTGGTACGGGAAGAGTATTGGCCATGAAGCAGTTTATCTTGCCATCGCTTCTGTATCTGGTCGGTTGCATTTGTCTCTGCTGTCTTTTTTAAGTATTTTGCAGTTTCAGCCGGTGTTGTTCTTGCATTTCTGCGCCCATTTGAAACTTCATTTTGAATTTGTTGGCTTCCTTTATTACGGAGTAAAGACGCTTACTACTTTCATGTTCCTTGACACATACCACCATCCAGTCTTCTGTAGTTTCCAAGTATCTTTGGAGGCCAATTGTTGTAGTTTTGTAGGACAGTTCTAGTTGAACTAATCCTCTGCCTCCTTCGGATCTGGGCACATACAGACAATCAACATCAGCTTTGGGATGATACATGCGGTAGCAATTGAGAAGTTTTCTCGTTTTGGCGTCCATTTGCTTAATTTCAGCTATGGTCCAGTTAAGGACATTAAAACTGTATTGCACCACAGGGACAGCCAAGGTGTTTATGGCTGATATTCTGTTTTTTTGAGTTTAGCTCGGTATTTAGTATCAGACGTACACGCCTGTAGTACACCTTTCGTACCTTCTCCTTCATTTGGGGGTGTTGTATGCCATCTCCTTCGTTAATTCCTAGGTACTTATAAGCTTCATCATGCTCCAGTTCCCTAATCTTTGTGACAAAATCTAAATCTACTAAGGTTATTTATGTAATTCTACCTTTCTTGAATGTTACTTATTATTATACAGTGAAGCCTCGGTTCTCGAACGCTTTACATGTCGAACAAATTCGAACAGAAAATTCGAGATGAATATGCCTCGGATATCGAACAATATTTCAGTTCTCAAACAGAGTTAACAGGAACGGAATAATTTCTAAATCGACCGCCGTGTTGTGCCGTGCTTTTCTTTTTCCAGTTTTATTGTACTGTGACTTCTTTTTCTTTTTTTTCTCTCTACATTGATTCCTACTGGAAAAATAGTTTCGGTTTACGAACATTCCGATTTATAAACAGCCTTCAGGAATGAATTAAATTCGTGAACCGAGGTTTCACTGTATAAATATTTAAATACAGGTGTCATAAAAATCACTTCAGCAATCGCTTATATTCTTTTCCTGTTACCCAATGGTTGTTGCCATGCAGAAAGAGAAATTAACTCGCGCTATACAGATTCCCATTTCAATATAAATTGACTGATTTTTTTAAAGTTTAACAATTGTTTCTTAATCAATTCACCCCAAGCAAGGCGATAATGCTACTGAGCGCGAAAGAGAATGAAAAGATTTTAGAAGGAAACGGAAACCCAATTCTGGACAAGGAAACAGGAATAAACCACAACTCCAGTTCAAAAGACCCAGGTGGAGTGGGAACCGGACGTTAAATTAAAATTTTCTTTTTCCTGTCTCCAACTTATTGGGCAGCACCGGGTAGGGGCTGTCCAGCCTGAGTGGGAGGATATATATATATATATATATATATATATATATATATATATATATATATATATATATATATTTATTCCATTGTCTTATTTGAAATTTAATCAAATTGTTGTGTTGGTATGTGCGCGTTTGCTTGTGTATACATCAAATAACAAAGTCACACGCAGATAATGCGTGACGGACAGATAATCATCTCTTCTTTTATGATATAGTTTATTATGTTCAAAAAATTCCTTTTGACCTGTATTTGTTTTATAATCACATATGTCGGGTTATAACCAATGTCCTAGACCAAGGGAAGGATGTGTTGTTTTGATGTTGTTTTTTTTGTTTTGTTTTTTTTTTTGTTTTTTGATATTTGGTATTGTTTTTACTTAATTACACAAAAGACAGCTGTTAACAAAAACAAAACTTGAATGGACAAAGCTCTTTGTTGTGTTTGGTAGAATTATTTTTAGACTTCCAGAAGAGACTATGGATCAGGGATTTTTTTTCTTGAGTTTCTTTCTTTATCAGGCCCAAAGCTCCAGTCACATCAAAAACAGGGTTAGTTTTTAGATGCTACATTTTTTTTAATGTTTTGAACAGGAGTAGATGTTTATCCCTCATTTCCTCTTTAGGATTGGGTTTCTGGTTCCTTCCAAAATCTTTTCCTTTTTTTCTCACTCCCAGTAGCTCCTCCCCGTGCGTCTTAGTGACGTTATCTTCTTGCTTGGGGGTGAATTGATTTAAAAAAAAAATTCCATCTGCATGTCTCTGTATTTGCTTACGTTTTCAAAAACAATCAGACATTTTTTTGTAACTTGGTATGCTCATGAAAATCAGTGTGCGAACTTGTTCGTTATTATTATTATTAATATTATTATTTTATTACTACTACTACTAATAATAATAATAATAATACTAATCCTATTAAAAAATTAAAACTTCATTATGACGAAGGTTATTACGCAGTTCTTTCTTGTTTTATTTTTTTGAGATATGATGGCGTTTGGTCGAGTTTTGGAAAAACTAGACCGACAAATTTCTTCTTTTTGAGTGTCACTGAATGGATAATTAGGGGAGGATTAAATCGTAATCCTCCTGCGCGAGTGGAATGTCATCCGGCCAGCTTTAAATACACTTTAACATCCACGTTCCCCTGGTTTGACATCTTGCTGTTCTCTACACTTCTGAAACAAGAATTAATTTTTGTATAGGATAGATATTGATATGGAAAAGGGGGCAATTTCAGTTTCTGAGCACAATCACACATACATGCATGCACACGTACGCACATACACACACAGAAACACACCGCACACGCACACACACACACACACACACGCATGCACAGACTCACACACACATATATTATTATTCTAAACGTTATTTTAGTGGATACCCATGTTTCAGTAGACGCCTTGTTTTGTTGAATTCGGTAGTGTAAATTACGTCTACGGACCTGCGCATTAGTTTGAGAGAGACTTGATAAGAGAAAATATGCTCTCAGACAGGGTTCGAACCAGCGTCCTTCTACTATAGGGCCCGATCTACAAAGGGGGGACGCAAGTTCGAACCCTAATAGAGAATACATTTTTTATTAAGTTCTTCGAATGCGCATAGTCGTAGCGCACGCTGCCAGCGATGGTCAGACTCGTTCAACGAGTCAACAGCCAGCATCTCTCTCTCTCTCTCTCTCTTTCTCTCCACACATGCACACACACACACACACACACACACACATATATATATATATATATATATATATATATATATATATATATATATATATATATATATATGTTCGTATATGGGTTAGAAATTCTAACCCGAGGAAGCCAGTCAGAGGTAGCAGGCGCTCTCGGCGAAACTCGTCGTTTAGAGATTTTTCACATTGTCTCATCTAGTTCACATTTGTTTCGGATACTATTATACATGCAACAAACAAACAAACAAACACACACACACAAACACGCACACACACACACACACACACATATATATATATATATATATATATATATATATATTTTTTTTCCGCACCCTGGCGTCAACTTCAAATTATATCCGTAGACGAATACAATAACCCTAATCATAAGTTCTTTGTAGCTGGTTCAAAGCAATTAAAAAAGAAATTACGAAACAAAGCCTGGAACATTTATCCAAGAATAAGAAAAGACCGTTGAATTAAGTGTCGTCTGGTTTTCTGTTTTAAAACCTATTATTGGAGACTTTGCTTGCTGACTGAAGATTATGGGACCCGCATAACTTGTCATTTTTTTGCCATCATAATAAAAAAGCAAAATTGATTTTTCTTGTTTAATATGTTTTTTTTCTATCCTCTTTTACCAATCAAGTTGTTTCCGATCAAGTTCCTTCAAATTCATTCATCTTGAACAAG